AAAGCAGAATCACTGATGTAGCACAAAATGTGAGGCTTTACTCTCGTGGAGGACATAATGTGCTGAACACTGAAAAGGTTGGACTGCGCGAACGCATTCCAACATCGCCCTTCTGCCTCGTCCACTCAGGTTAAGTCCTACTTCCTATAGTCGACTATATACCCGTGCTTCCTGAAGTTTCCCTTTCGACCTCCAATACTCCAGGTCACTCGTCCTCATCCCCGATCATCCAGCAAACCCCAGATCACCGTAGATCTCAGCCTCGCGATTACTCTGTACCAAGTCACGTTCTTCCACCCCCGTCAAGTACATTTCCCACTTCCTGTACTTCAGACACGGCCTCACAATTTCATTGCATCACGTCCCGTTGTCACCCGTGCCTTTCTTATAGGCACTGTCTGTATGGTACCTGTCTATCAGTGGTACGACGGTTAAATACAGTTGCTACTTCAGACCAGCCGCTGTTCAGAGTCTCAAAGAGACTGTCCCGTCGGTAGCGCGAGTTTCAAAACTGCCATGTGCCTGACTGAACTGCCAGAAAAAGCCAGCCCGAGTTTCAAACTGCTAAAACCAGTTTCCACTGCAATTGAAACTGGGGCCCTGACTAAACTGCTAAAACGCAGTTTCAAATGCAATTACAAACTGTAACCCAATTACAAACTGTAACCCTGACTGCACCGTAGTTTTCTCTAAAAATAAAGGGCTCAACACGATTCAATAGTACAGGAACGGAAGGAATTGGAGATGGATTCCGGCAATCAGTACTGAAGTAAATGTCTTATTCCACTGAAAGCAAAATTCAATCTTGAGACGGTTTTAGGTTTGATCAATTGGTTTGGGTGTTGTCGAGGGAGACTCTCGGAATTAAGTTGATTTTCCGAGCGAAAATTTTATCGGTCTTTTTCCCTTTCTCTTCTCTTTTCTTGTGACACTCCGTGTGTGTGTGTGTGTGTGTGTGTGTGTGTGTGTGTGTGTGTGTGTGTGTGAACCATGCTTTGCAGAATGTGGATGTGATTTAATGACAAAAGAGATGACGAAATTTGCAATTGAAAACGTTTCGGAATCATCAATAAACCAGTGGGCCTTGGTCCACTACTCGCCAAATGCGCAAAATCAGGATGAATCTGCCGCAAGAACATGGAAAGGTACATTGTCATGTTTTCCGTCTCTTGTGCATGTGGCGAGTAGTGGAGCCCCTATAGCTACTTCAGACATGTCTACCACAAAAACGGCCTCCTCTTCCTCCTCTTCCCCACCCTTTCCCCCTCGCCCCTTTCTCCCGGCCTCCTCTCTCCTCTCTCCCCCCCCCCCTTCCCCCACTCCTCACGCCGCCAAAACGAAAAGGGAAAAGTCATAAGACCTCCCCTCGACGAAACCTTTGTACCTTTGTATATGTGTCCCCCCAAACGGGGAAAAGGTGCCGCGGGGCCCAAAGATCAATTTCGGCGTCATTTTTTTGCACCCGCAAAACACTTTCCCACCATTTTCTTACACTGCGGCCGCTACCGGTCCAGCCAGGGTGCAAAACTGACAGCAAAAGTGATTCTGGGACCTGCGGCACTTTTTTTCCCGTTTGGGGGGGAAATGGATACAAAGGTTTCATTGGGGGGAGGTTTTATTGCTTTCCCCAAACGAAAAGGGGAAACTAGGGCGCAGTGACGTTTTCAGTTTGAAAATGCGCCTCAGTCGCGATTTCGTGAATGTTGTGCCAAAGCGAGGACAATTGTGAATGTATACAACCTAGCTTCAGGGTCCGGCGAGGATTTAAAATAAAACTAAATGCGCCCTAGTTACTGCCCCCAGAAAAGAAGAGAATGCGCCGAGTGCCCAAGGCTAAGGGCGAGATCCCGCTGGAAACAGGGATTGGATTGGACGTCTGAATCTGGACGTGGCTGTGTGGAGAGGTATAGAAAACCGAGTTTGAACTGCTTTTCTGCACCTTCGCATAAATTACATCCAGATGCAGGTGCTTGATGGAATCGTCGTTGCTAGTGGAACTTCGCCCTAAAAATAAAAGAAAACAAATCGCCTTGGTCCTGCTGGGGGGAAAGTAAACACGGCGTGCTTTGGGACATCCGTTAATGTCCCGTTAGAATTGGAACGATACAGAGAAGATTAGCATGGCCTGGAACGTCAACTTCGAAATTATTTCGGTTGACACAGAACCTTGGTTCGGTCCCCAAGCCAGCTATGTGGAAGGTAATCTTCCACTCAAACCTGCTGGTGGGTGATACCGGCCAGGGGTCACTGCAGCCGGTAGCGCATCAGGACCGAGCTTCTTCTTCAATGGGCCAATCGCTCTGCCGCCTCCTCTCCGGTCTCCTCCCCCTGCAAACATCAGCAAACTCTGCTGAATGTCGCTTG